GCAGGTCCAGGGTTGGAACGTACATCGTGATGGGTCATAATGAACCGGACAGCAGGTGGTACCTCATCGAAATGGGGCAGCCCCCACTCACCATGGTCAAGTGGAGATGTAGGCTCACTGTCCCTTTCAACTTTTTTTTTTTTTTTTAAGATTTATTTATGTGACAGAGAGAGACACAGCGAGAGAGGGAACACAAGCAGGGGGAGTCGGAGAGGGAGAAGCAGGCTTCCCGCGGAGCAGGGAGCCCAATGCGGGGCTTGATCCCAGGACCCTGGGATCATGACCTGAGCCGAAGGCAGACGCTTAATGACTGAGCCACCCATGCGCCCCAGTCCCTTTCAACTTTTTAAAAGAAACTAGACATCCAAGTTTGGTGGAACATTTCCCCGGCGTTGACACATGGCACAGAACGCAGAGCACCCTCTGTGGGCAGGTTCAGCTCTCCGGCTCCCACTTCGCTTACCCCTAAGGGCAAGCCCTTCCCTCGTGAATCTTTCTCCCTCCACGGTGTGTCACCAGCTCCCAATTTAAAACAAAAAACAAAACAAAACAAACAAACACCCCCTCCAAAAAAAACCCCAACCAAACCATGTTGGAGATTAAAAAAAACATTTTGAACCAGTGGCTAGATGTTCACATGGAAAGGTCTTCATGGAGAGTCCAGGGGCTTATATTCATTTCCCATTGTCTTGAAACAAATCACCACAAACTGAATGGCTTAAACAATGTGAATTTATTATCTTACAGTTTTGTAGATCAGAAGTCTGACATGGGTCTCATGGGGCTAAAATCAAGCCCTGTCTGCAGGGCTTTGTTCCCTTCTGGAGGATCAGAGGAGAATCCATTTTCTTGCCTTTTCCCGGCTTCTAGAAGCCGCCGGCATTCGTTCCTTCCTGACCCAGCAATGGGGGTTCAGCCCCCACATCAAATCTCTCATCACAGCAGCAAAAGTTTCTCTGCTTTTCAGGATTCATGTGACTGGGTCCCCCAGGCAATCCAGTGTTATTTCCTCATGAAAGGTTGTAGTTTAAAGGGTTTCTTGTTTTTTAATTTATTTAAGCAATCTCTGCACCCAGTGTGGGGCTCGAACTCACGACCCCGAGATCCAGAGTTGCATGCTCCACCCACGGAGCCAGCCAGGCATCCCACAAAGTTGTAGTTTAAATGCCTCTGCAACATCCCTTTTGCCACATGAGGGAACATTTTTATAGGATCCAGGCATTAGGGTATGAACAGGGCTCTTCTCTAAACTTTTGAACCTTTTCTTCAAAAAAAGCTCTGGGGAGAGAAACCTATGATAAACAGCTTCTTTCTTTCTTTCTTTCTTTCTTTCTTTCTTTCTTTCTTTCTTTCTTTCTTTCTTTCTTTTCTTTCTTTCTTTCTTTCTTTCTTTCTTTCTTTTCTTAATTCTGCATACAGTGTTATATTAGTTTCAGATGTACAATAGAGTGATTCAACCATTCTTTTTCTTTTTAAACAGATTCTTTTTTTTTTTAAGATTTATTTATTTGAGAGAGTTTTTTTTTTTCAGTGAGCACAAGGAGAAGCAGGCTCTCTGCTGAGCAGGGAACCTGATGTGGGGCTCAATCCCTGGACTCCAGGATCATGACCCGAAGGCGGATGCTGAACCGACTGAGCCACCCAGGCGCCCCTGATTCAACAATTCTGTACATCACCCAGTGTTCATCATAAGTGCATTCGTAATCCCCATCACCTATTTCACCCCTCCCCTCTGGTAACCATCAGTTGGGGTTTATCTTTCTTCATAACCAGACTCACTCCCCCCCCGCCCCAGTCAGGCTTCCTTCTCTGTAAGAGATTATTCTAGCAGGGGCCTTTCTGCGCCACCAGGCCCGGCCTGCTCCAGCCAGTGGAACGCTCAGTTGCCTCTCTGGCCCCGGTACCATCTGCTACCTCGGGGCTCAGAAGCAGCCCTTCTCCCTTAGCTCCCCTCCCTATGGAGCTTCTCAGCTGGGATTACTTACAGGGTGAGGGACGGGGCCTCCTTCTCCCCAGGCGCCGCGAAGGCTCTGGGGCTTGCCGCCAAGGCTGGAGTCAACATCACGCAGGCTAGGGCTGGAGGCGGTGAGGGCAGGAGCAGAGCAGGACAACAAGACTGACGTGGGCTGCCATCCCCGAGGGGCAGGGCCTGGCCGGCTGGAAGCTCAGGCTGCATCTGACAAGAGCTCACTTAGTCCTGTCCGTCATCAAGTCCTTTGCTTGGGTTCAAATGGCCAACTGCTCCCATGAAGAGGATTAGGGAGTCTGGACTTTTAGCATCCGTTTTGGCAGGTGGGAGGAACACCAACCTGTGACAGCTACCCGCCCCCACCCCCAGCCACTTGGGAGGATAGCACCGATTCTGCATAATGACCAGGCTGTGCCCCCCCCCCCCCCGCCTCTCTCCCTGGAACCGCCCCCCCCCCCCCACAACACACACACACACACACACACACACACACACACGCGCGCACGCGGGCACACTCACAACCTTCAGTGGTGGAGTCAGGGATGAAAGGCATGGCAGCAGGATGATTACACCAGGGTGAATCCCAGCACTTCCACTGGCCACTTGTATGTCCTCCCGAAAATTATTTACCTCAGTTGCCCTGTTCTTAAGTAATGCCAATGACACCTTTCACGGGATTATTGGGAGGATTAAATGGGTTAATACCTTAATATCTGTAAAGGCAGAAGACTGCCTCGGCAGAGCCGTCACATGGCTTTGTTAAATAATACAAATACGTACCCTGCTCTGAAGGATGATCTTTGGCCAAATCTACTTTAATAGCTGTACTTCTCTACTAGAAGTTAGAAATAAATTCTCAAGTGACTCAGCTTGAAACAATGCGAGGGGATTCGCGTGAGGCACGTTCGGCCTGCACTCATACAGCTGTGTTTTCATTTATTTAAGCAATATCTCCACCCAACGTGGGGCTCGAACTCACCCCTCTGTGAGGATAATCTTTGGCCAAATTGGCGTTAGGAACCATACTTCTCTACTAGAAGTTAGAAGGTGCTGCAGGTTACATCAATAGTAACAGATATATGTACTAGACTAGAATGAAGGAGGTGCCAAGACCGCTGGTCAGGTCAACACTCAGTCCGTCCAAGAGCCTGAGTTACTTCTGGGTTATTTGTACTTATTTTTAAGTCCTCCTGCTCATGGTTCTGATAGGGGGTTGATGCATTTTAATTGGAATCCACATTCCTAATGAAGGCCTCACTCTACCCCCTTAGATACTCTTGACCCTCAACAGTACTAGAAATTTGAGGTCCTGGCAACCATGCTTTGCTTGAAGCACCGAGACCAGCATTGGTTGCCACAAACAGAGAGATGCCACTGTTGGCAAGGTTGGGGAGGAAACTTGAAACATGACAAACGCAGACTCTTGGAAACAATCAGAGCTGTTAGGCAGAAAGCAGGGGACACAGGAAAGCCAGGGGAGCTGGCTTCACACCACAGGAAGGGATGGGGCAAGAGAAAGAACACTTATTAAATACTACTGTGCTCTGAGCACAGTATCGCATATCTAATTAAGCTCCCATCGCGACCCTATGGAAGAGACAGAACTCTCGCACGTGACGAGGTGGGGAAGAGGCAAAGTGACCTGCCCAAAGGCTCTCATAGCCAGGAGGCTCAGGCTGGCAGATCTTTTGGCCTCATGTCACGACCACTGTAACAGGACTGCATGATGCATGTGTGATACTAGATAGAGCTTTCTCATATTCAGAGCTGGTACAATGGTATGGAAGTTCTGTACCGGTTCCGTACCACTGAAGGTGTCCAAGGAGGTGTGTGATGGATCTCATCAAAGATATTAAAAAGGTAATTTATTTATGCCTTGTTGGAGGGTGGAAGTGGGTCATCTAGGAAGGCAACTTCCAGCTTTGAGATTCTGAGTTTCTATACTTTGGGGTAAGATAGACTTTTAAGGCATATTAAGTGATTTCTTTTCCCTGTATTTTTCACTTTCTCTTCTGTCCCCTTCTCCTCTTCATGCAGATATTCTGTTCTGGGAACACGTCTTTTTTAAAAGGGGGGGGTGTGTGGTGGCTGGCAGTTTGGGCAGCTGGGATAACAGAAAGACCGTACCACTCTCTCTGTTTGGTGAGTCTAAATTTTTACTAAGTTTACTAAGGAGATTGCGTTACATTCTAATGAGGCAAACCTGGAAAGATGACAAGAGGAAGCAATGACATCACCCTTCTTTCCCTCTCCTCCAATTCCTTGGTACTAGGCAAAGCCCAGACCCTCCTGAATGTAGGATTTAGGGCTGGGGTTGATTTAAGATTCACATTCTGCTATCCCATCACGATGGGGACTTGATATAGAAACTGGAAATTTTTTTGAAAATAAAGCGATATTTCGTCCACACCTGAGCTTGGGAACAGAGACCTATTTTAAGCCTGGCGGCGGACGTGCCTTCCCAGCAGCTACACAAAGGGGCTGTAAGCCTGAAGTTTTTGGTCCTCTGCTGCCCCTGTGTGGACATAGTGGGAAACAACACTTCAAGATCTCGCTTGTGGCCAGAGTAAAATTGGACTTGAGAGAAAGAACCGCCCCCTGAGAATCCCTGGAGGTTTATGACCACGATGAGGGAGTCAGGAACTGTTGCTATCCCCAGAAAGCTGGGGTTTTCCAGGAGAGAGGTGGGGAGCCCCTACAAGCTGTCAATGACTTCACCAGGATCTTGTCTTGTCCACCACCTTTATTTTTCCTCGACACCTGCAGCCAGTAAGCGAGCGATCATCTAAAGACTCCCAGGCATGCACCTCTGCAGCTTTTGGCCGCGACCAGCGCCCGCGGGCATAGCGCCAATCCTCCCACACCTCCTCTTCCTGCGCTTGGAGTAACAAGTCTGTGAGTGTCTCCCTCTGGTCTCACAGCTTTTCACACTCTCTCTTTACCGTCTGTCTCTACACCACCATCTACACAACATATCTACACCATCACGTTCGTGCTTGCAGCATCCCTGACTCCCTGCACAGGCACAGGACAGGGGAAGATGGGGTATCTGGGCCTCCTCCCTCCAGCTGGGAGCCAGGGCCAAATGCACCTGGCCTGACCCCCTATCCCCTCCCTTCAGGCCTCCAGACCCTGCCGCAGCCTGCGGTCCAGGGCCAGGAGCTGTCGCAAGAAGCCCCGGTTGGGAATGATGCCTCGGTGGTCCTTGACTTTCTTGATGGCCTCCACGAGGGTGAGGTGGTGGTACAGCATGAGGTAGGCCAGTACCAGTGTGGCGGATCGGCTCACTCCCACGGCGCAGTGTACCAGGATCTTTCCTGCGAGGAGAGACACACGAGGTGGCTCTGGGACTGTTTGTGGGGGGCTGGAGGCGGCTAGGGAGAGGGCGACGGGGCCAGGTGAAGAGGACGAGAGGGAAGCAGGTGCACACGGCGACAGGATGGGGTGCAGACTAGGGGTGGGAGGAATGCCGACCCCTGGGAGGCCTGGACGGGATAAGATGGACAACGTGCAGCAGCTCAGCGTCTGGGAGCCTGAAAAGGGCTCCCAGGGAGACAGACGCACATCACTAACGTAAAACTGAGTCTTGCACAGAGTGAGGATCCAGGGATCTGTTGAGTGTTCCCCAGTGCATTAGCATCTGTGCTCTGTTAACACTTTGGATTATTTCCTTCTCTTCTTCTCATGCACTGCCTTTAACAAATAGTTGAGAGTGTTTTTCTTGCCTTCATATCAGATCCTGAGAGTTCTGTCATGTCATTCAAATCTCTCCAGCCTTGACCCTCCAGCTTTCCCCTAACTCCGATGTCCCTTGTTCCTTCCCTCCCCCTGGCTTTCCCCTCCTACCTCCCGGCTGGTTCAGCGCCCGGTGGATGAAGTCAGCAGCCGTCTGGAAGTGGATGCTCATGTCAAAGGCTGGCGAGTCATGGGCCTCAACACCCAGGTAGCGGATGCCCAACCCCTCGTAGGCCTCGGGCGTGCCTCGCCACCTGCTGTGTGAGGCATTGAGGACGTGGGTGACACCCAGGCGACGGAGCTCCCGGCGGTTGTTAGCTATGTCCCTGCATTAAGTAGAGGATAAAGGGAGGTTGGGGAAGCTAGGCTCTGGAGCAAGAAGCCCTGGCCTCCACCCTGTCCACTGCCTAGCTAACGTCATTGGCTCCATGCCTCCACTGTACTTACTGAGGACCCAGAGCAGGGAACCAAGATGGGCAACGACCTGGCATCTCGTCCTTGAGCAAGGGTTGAGGGTACTGGGGAGGTTCTGCCTGGAGAAGAGAAGACTAATGGGGTGGGCGAACGATAGCCGTAATAAAATATTGAGAGTCCTCCAAGGCAGCTTGATCTGTGGGAAGGATTGGCTCTGTACTTCATGTACAGAAGTATGTACTAACTGTGGAATCCAGGTGAAGAAAGACGGAAACACCTTGGGAGAGAATGACTCTCCTGTCACTGGGGTATTCAAGCAGAGAGAGGAGGTTAATGTGTAGGCATGGATGCGCAAGAGGGGATCTGGACCTCAGCTGGGTTCTTGGACCAGCTCACATTCAACCTCCCTGCTAACCTTGAGGTGATAGGATTCTGACCCTTGCTCCCACACCTAGCTCCCCTGTTACTTTCTGCTCTCGTTGACACCCAGAATGTTCTCATGTTCTACTAGTTACTCCATGTTCACATGGACCCTGTTTTACGATGTCACCTTTGGGGGTTCCTCTGGCCCATCCCCCTCAGCTTAGTGGCAGACATCTCTCAGGCAACATGGCCATACCTCAGGGCCAACGCCCTGTCCAGTGCAAACTCCTCAAGCACAAGCACTGAACTTGAACCTCCAAGTCCTGGCTCTGCTACTTACAACCCGTGTGACCTTGGGCCAGTCACAACGTCTCTGAGCTTCAATTTTGCCATCTGTAACCCTGGGGGCAGTGGTACCTACCTCACAAGGCTGTTGTGAAGATTAAGAGAGAAAATGCATGTGAAAAACTCCTTGTAGACTATGAAGCCCTTGAGAGACAGAGAAGTGATGGGCTTCTTCCCTGGAGGCTTTTCTCTCCAGGGCCCCCATGGTGCAGAGCCTCTGCATACACTGTGGCTTTGCCTGGTCAATCCCTCGGCTTCCTACCCACTTCCTGGCTCCCGACAGCTGCCCATGTCCAGCATCACAACACAATACGTGGAAGGTCAGGGAAGACACCTACGATGTCCACCACATGGCATCGGCACTCAGTAATTAATTTTGCTAAGTGAGTGACGTTATTACTTGAACAGAGACTATCTGTCCAGAGTTGGGCATATCAATAATCCTGCCCCAACTCCCCCAAACCCTCCAGCCTCCACTCTCTGCCCATGCACCCCTGCCCCTCCCTCCTCAAGCTGGAACCAGCAACACGACTCAGCACCTCCCTGCCACCCTTCTCCTTTCTTCTTGTGTGGGTACACACACACACACACACACACACACACACGTGCAGCCATGACCCCAGGCTGCCGGGTACGTACTGGTCTCCGAGGTAGAGGCCCGGCCAGACCTCATCGGCATGGTTACAGGCGGTCTTGCCTGTGTAGAGCAGCCTCTCCAACTCAAAGACATTGAGGAAGGGATGTTGAACATCTGGCATCTCCTCCAGGGCCCCTCTAGTGCGAACAGGAGACCTTGAGCCGCTCCGGGAGAAGCGGGCCATAAAAGTCATGGAGGCCCAGAGCCAGTTACCGGGGCACATCTTAGAGGCGGCTGCAGGGGTGGCTACGCGCCGACGATGGGTCAGTCTCCAGGTAGCTGTTGCTGGAGGAGGGATGGAAGGGAGACACACCTGAGTGGGTCCGGAGCAGCTGCTTCCTTCTTGCCAACTGGGCTGGGCCCTGGGGAGAAGCTTCTCAAGGGAGGGAAGGGAAGTCTGGCCCTGGCGGGGGTGGGGTGGGGCTCCCCAATTACTCTTTCCTTCAAGCTGCGGCAGCTCCTTTCTGCTCTTTGGCTCAGCCAGGCAAGGAGGTGGGAGTCACATGTCCTTGTTTACGGGGAGAGGGAGCTGCCCAGCTGCTGGCTTTCTGCCCCACCACTCCACCCCCACTCCCAACACATACACAAACACACACACACACGCACACATTTGATATTTGGGTGGCAGTGCCCATTGCAGGAGCTCTCGCCAGCTGGAATCTGGGTCTCATCTGCCTGGGTCTCCAGGCAAAGAGCCCAGGGAGCTGGGAGGGGAATGGGGGGGTGGCTTTGGACCCACCCAGAGAGAATGAGCAGGAAGATAGCAGCAGCTGGGGCCATGACATATGCCAAGCCCTTCTCCTCAGCACCAGAGAGATGGGCTGCTTTAACCCATTCCTGCCCTACCACTGCTTCAGAGTTAAGCCTACTATGGGAAGTGTTATGTTGGGGGCTGGGGTGAGTGGGGAAGAGCAAAAAAGAGAAAGTGTAAGTTTTTGAAAAATATTTGCTGAAGGCATGCACTAGTGGAAGAGGGTGCCAAGGTTAGTGCACAACAGCCAATCCACTCTCCTTTGATCAGCATGCAGAAATTATTGATCAAACCTCTTCTCTCGTGTGAGGATTTCTGAGTCAAGCAGGGCTGGAGTAATGTGTCTGGGTGTGTAGGGGAGAGGCGGAGCCTGGGGGCTGAAGAAGGGAAGGGATGAGGGATTCTGCCAGGCCCAGGGGCTCAGAGGCTGAGTTGCTGTTGGAGTCAAGTTACCCTATGCGGGGCATGGGGTTGGCAGTGAGGGGCTTAGCAGGTGTGCCTCGTACACCCTGTGGACAACTGGCCTTTGTAAAAGGCTTGTGCAGAGCTGCAGAGCTGGGAAGAGCCAGCCTTTGAGACGCGTCCTGGGTCCTTCAGGCAGAGAGGCCACTGTGACAAGAGCCCCTCCGTCTTCCTCCTCCCCCTCTCCCATCACCAGGGTGGATCGGTCCCAAGGATTCCCTTTCCACTCCCTTCCTGGTCCTCAACCAAAAGTCTAGTATCGAGAGGCCATCTTTGACCTGCACACACTCTGCGGACCCATCCCTCCCTGTGAGCCAGGGCCCCGGCTCTCCTTTCCCCCAGGCCAGGGGAGACTGAGCACCAACAGGTCTTAGGAAGCAGGGGCATTAGGATCAGGGCTGCTGAGGGGAGCCTGGACCTTAGGGCGTTCAGGGAGAGAGATGTTTGCAAAGGCTGGGGCAGAAAGAACACAGAAATATAGCACTCTAGCCACCATCGCCATCACCAACCACCACCACCATCATCATTCCATCATCATCATCATCATCATCATCATCATCATCATCATCATCTGCCTTGTCTCCTCAGGCCTAAAGACCCCATCACTTTATTCCCAAACAACGGTTTCTCGAAATAGGTTCTGCTGCCCCGGTGACTGATGCTAAAGGGTAAAGCGGAAGCGGGAAGGAGCCCAGGTGTAGGGAGGAGCTCTGTGGGACTCTATTTCTCCCCGAGGCTGGCGGAGCCCCATTCCGTCCCGGGGTACACCCCTCGGCCTTCTCCAATCCCATCAGCCGCGTTCAGGCGCCCTGGTCCGCGGCCCCCCTTCTCCCCGGCCGCCGTGGAGGTTGTAACAGGTTCATGGCTGTCGCCCCAGCCCCGGCCAGCACAGACAGCCCGGCGCTGAAGGAGCTCAGCTAGCTCGGCTCTCGCGTACCACCCCCCTCCCCGCCCAGCCCAGCCCAGCCCAGCCCGGAGCCGTGCGCTTCTCGGCGCCGCGGGGGAGGCGACCACCCCCCACAGCCCCTCTACCTGGGTGCGAGCGCGGCGCGGGGTCTCAGTCGCGGAGGCCGTTGGCAGGCGCAACCAGCCCCACGGCCATGACTCTCCTGCGGCCGCCGCCGCCGCCCCCGCCCGCTGCCGCTGCCGCTGCCGCTGCCGCTGCCGCTGCGAGACCGGGTGACGGATTAGCCTCTATTTTTAAGCCATGACACACACGTCGAAGCAGGGTTCCTATCGGTGTGTCGCTGACACACAGAGACGCAGCCCGACGCCCAGAGGCCGGAGCGCACACGCAGCGTGGGCTCGCCCGCGGGTGTTTACAGCCCAGACACAGAGCACGCAGCCGAGCAGCCCCGCCTCGCGTGCATGCTCTGGCGGACGTGTGTTTTCGGAGCTGCGCCAATTACAAGGCATTTTGCTTGAGGATGTCATTATACAAGCCGTCCCAGACGGTGCCTTTAACACCCTCGCTCCTCCCCAGACAGCATTAATTAATTACATAGACACCATGGCGCGCCTTACTTGTCCATTTCTTATTCTCAAGAACACCGTGTCATAAATAACACGGGTCGGGAGCCCTTATTAGTATTTAGTATATACCACGTGTTTCACATCTTTTCCCTCAGTTTATCCTCACCACAGGTCTGGGAGCTAGGTAGCATTATCATTGTCCCCATTTTAGGAAGGAGGAGACTGAGGCCCAGGGAGGTGAAGTCACTTGCCCAGGCCACACGCTAGTTATGGGCTGTGCTGAGTTTCAGACCCTGGCAGTCTGACTCGAAGCTCATGTCCTTAACTGTTCTAAACCAGTGACCCCACACAATGGAGAAGGCACAGTGGATTTCTATCAGGAAGCCACTTCCGGCAGCTCAGCTCTTAAGTGAACGCCTTTCCCTCTTAACTCTGGAAGAAATTCATGCCCCTACCTCTTCACTTGTGCTGCCTTTCAGTGATGTTCAGCTTTACCTGCTTTTCTACTGTAATCACCTTGTCAGTTCTAAGTCAGTCAATACTTCGAAGGCAGGGATGGTGCTGCCATCCCCAGTCCCCAGGTCATCGTGTGATGGGGGAGGTGGTAGAGGGAATATACATGTCAGCAGAGGATGCTGTTGAAAACCAGGCAGATGTGGACTCCGGGAGAGTTGTCAGCAGGAAGTGGGTAAGGTCAGGCTGGACATGGTTTCAGATAACACATTAGCAACTGGAGCCAAAATCAGGACTGACTATGTTCCCAGCAGGGGTGGGGGGTGAGGCTTTGATCTCCAGTCAAAGAAAGTACTTACTGGCCAAAGTGACACAGTCCTCAGGTCAGTTTTGTGCTAAAGAGGAGGTTCCATCACAGACTGCCGGCAAGGATTAATTTCCCTCCCTAGCCTTTTCCTTTCTAGAGAGGCAAATTCCGTTCCTTTCCATGCCTTCTTGGCATGATGATTTACATGAAGAAATGAAATCCTCATCATTTAAAACAAAGGATTGGCCTGGGAAATTTGAAATTTTAATTTGTCGTCCCAGGAAAAGTCAGTAAAAAATGGTCACAAGTCAAATCGTGAAAGAGCACATATTATTGGACTAACCTCATTTTAAGTGACAGAGTCTTTAGGGTTGGTAGGTTGAGAAGATGTAGGTAAACTTGATCTCAAGCTTTGGCAAGACTTCCATTTCAACCCTGCATTTCACTTTTCTCAAAAAGCTGGAAAAAGGGCGCCTGGGTGGCTCAGTTGGTTGGGCGACTGCCTTCGGCTCAGGTCATGATCCTGGAGTCCCGGGATCGGGTCCCACATCGGGCTCCCTGCTCGGCAGGGAGTCTGCTTCTCCCTCTGACCCTCTTCCCTCTCGTGCTCTCTATCTCTCATTCTCTCTCTCTCAAATAAATAAATAAAATCTCTAAAAAAAAAAAAGCTGGAAAAATATGCTTTAAAGCATGCCATGGACAACATGGGCAGATGTTTACAGGTAACCATAGAAGTTGTCCATGGATCAACATCTTCATTAATGGACCATTAATGACCAGGGGTCAACCCATAACTCAGGTGGCTTTATATTTTTCTTTGTAGCTAGGAGGTTTATTATGTTTCTAGGTGACATCAAACAAAATTAAGGACGAGAAGGGGAGGGAGGATGGAGGAAAGAGTTAGTGGGGAGAAGGTAATGGTAGGACAGGAGAAGGTTGGAAGCTAATAGAAGCAGCATGTATTGACAATTTACTGTCTGTAAATTCCTTGCGCTTTCACATTTATCAGCTCATTTGATCCCACCCAACTTTTAGGTGGGTGTTATTATCATCACTGAATGCATGAGGAGACTGACACTTGGCCAGATGTTAATTCACCCACAGCTAGTCAATGGCAGACCATGGTCCAAACTCAGGGCTATCTGATTCTAAACGTTTATATTTCAAGATGAGGCTGAAGAGTCGTTTCCTTTATAAAACCTTTCTGGATCCACTCTCTTTTTGTCTGCTCCCTTGTTTGTGTTGATACAGATATCCATCAAAGGACCCATGAGCTATATGTAGCCTCACTTATTTCTATGTTTCTTTCTTTATTTTTTAATATTATTTATTTATTTGACAGAGAGAGAGCAAGAGAGCAAAAGCAGGGGGAGCAGCAGAGGGAGAGGGAGAAGCAGGCTCTCTGCTGAGCAAGGAGCCCTATGCTGGGACTCCATCCCAGGACCCCGGGGATCACGACCCAAGCAGGAGGCAGATGCCTAACCGGTTGAGCCGCCCAGGTGCCCCTCTATATTTTTTTAAATCTCTGCCCTCTGTATTAGAAGGCATGAATGGATACATTATACTGGGATAACTAAGATGGGAAAATGAGGCTACTGAAAAATAGGAATAGATTTCCAAATGGTCTCAAAAGAAATACCTCACTCCCCCCAAAATATTTAAGTAGGAGAGAGAGGGGGAGGAGTGGGAAAAAAAAAAACCAAGAGACACCAACAACCATGTGTTAAATGGTAGTTCTAACCCCTACCATCAACTACAGGCTGGGCACTACTATGCTAAGTGCTTTACATAGATTAGCTAATTTAATCCCATAAGTAGGTATTATTAATTCCATTTTACAGTTGAGGAAACAGGTTTAGAGTGGGGGCAAATCCACTCTGAAGCGGCCAAGCAGCTAATAAGTGGGATTTGAGCATGGATTTAAACCCAGGACTTTTAAACCAAAGC